TGTGCAAGCCCTGCATTGTGCCAGGCCGGCATCCCTCCTGCAAGCGGTGACACCTGTCCTTGGCATAGCCCCCTGTCCCCTTCCCCTGGCCTCCAGCCAGGTCCTCATCTCCAGGCCCACCCTTGACTCAAAACCTCATCTGCACTGGCTCCACTCCTACAGCTAACTGCATTTGCCTTGGCTACATGCTCTTGTAATTCATGACAGTACTAAAACAAGTCAACAACAACAGAAAAGGGGTCAAAGTAGCTGGTTATGAATATTTCTCATAATTCTAATCAAGTCTCAGGTGGAACATCATTTCGTTTTCTAATCCTGTTCTATTTTCTTTTCCTGTATCCACAGCATCTGACACCCCACAACCAGATTACCATGAAGCAAACCTACCACAAAATCAACTTTTAGAACTGAGCCTTTGGAGCCACTCCAACTTTCTGAACCCTCCTTCTGCCTTTAGACAGGTTTCCCCACAGATGGATCGAATGTCGAAGTCCTGGGCTACCAATAACAGAAAAACACACAGAATCCTTTTTTCTCTTTCTTGCCTTCTCTGGCACCTCACAATCAGTTTTCAACAAAAATAAACAGAATTACAGGAAAAGCCTGCAGGAGAGGACCGGCAGCACGAACGCCTCTGCAGACACCACCAGAGTTTTAAGTCTTTGACTCCTGCTGTCAGCTGATCTCATTTAAGTCAGAAACGTGAGTTGTGCACAGGTAGGAGGGCATTTTAATTTTGTTATCTGGCTCATTGGGAAGCACCTTCACCTCTGAAATCAGGAGGTGGTGTGTTGTGGTTTGCAATGAGGTTTGGGCACTTGCCCAGTCATAGCACTGTACTGCTGAATGAGAAGGGGACTTCTCGTGCTTAGAAAAAGAGCTGATGAATGCACGGTGCATTTCAGAGAACAATATTCTGGTGTCCACTCTTTCTCTCAAAGCAGGTTCCTGTTTAAAATGCTGACCAAGTTGGACAACATAGAGATTTAAAATAAATGCTCCCACAAAATTTGAAAATCTGAAATCTTAAGCGTGAAGATTTGAAAATTAATAGATATAAATCTATACATATATATACAAATATCTGTATGCACCTATAAATAGAAATTTACAGATATATATGTACAGACATTGATGGAAAGAAAATCAAGAAATAATAGTATAAACATCCGAAAAAAAAAGGGTATGGATGGTCCTAGGATGTCATTACTCTATCTCATTTCCACTCCACACCAAACCCTCAATCATTTAAGCTAAATAATCAAATGAGATCAAATGGATAATGCTCCCCTGTTGGGAGTTCTGGAGCAAAACTGTACCAGTCAGCTTTATCCCCTTTGGAAAGGAAAGGCCCATCTCCTGTGGACTATATGATGGCACTTAGGCTGCCATGCTAATAGCAACTCCGGCAGTGGGACAATTGCTTTTCTAAGATCAGAAGGAAAGCTGAATTTACTGCATAAAATGCAGTAAATGTACATATCAGAGATTTAAGAATAAAGCAAAAGATTGCTTCCTAGAAAAAAATCCAAGCCAACCACTCATGAAGGACTGGGCTTTGCATGTTTCCTCCTATTTAATCCTCAACAAGTCTGCTAATGACAACCTCCTGCTCATTCACAGTGGCAGTGCTGCTAACAGTGTAAGAACTCCATCTTCCTCTCCAGCTGCTACACAAATTCCATCTAGGTCCAATTCAAAAGACCTTTTCTACACATAGCACAGACAAAAAAAAAACCATCATCCAGGTTCACATGGTTCATTTGCAATGCAGAAATCATATGACCAAAGGAGTGTTTCCCCTCCAATATGCACTACAGAGCGCAACAAAACTTTGTTATCAGCTTTGTTATCACCTTGCTTATTCCCTTAGTTTATTTACATTTCCCTAAAATTCCTGACTGTCTGAACTTGGTTAGTCAAAATGACTGGTGCATACACAAGTTTTGGTAGGTCATTGACCACTCCCCATTATGAACCAGCAATATAAGTTCTTAAGCAACTCTGGGCTTACCCCATACCAGGCTATTTTAGCTCATTCTTGATCTTTAAAAGGTGAGGACAAGCCCCCTTCCTGGCTGTTTTTTCTATTAACATTATATGATGGGAGAGGGAGGCATAGATTGTCTATAGCTATTTCTAAATTACCTATTACTGTGGACTCCCAATCTTGCTTGAAGGCCGCCAGTGTGATAATACAACAAATATGAAAAAATTAAGCTGTCAGTAATATTGCTATTTTAGCCAATAAAATGTCTATCTGAGGTGGTACCAGCACCCATGTAGAGAGCCACAGTGCAGCTGTGTCTTTCCCTATGCACCTAGAACTGTTGTCCACTGTCTTACTAAGTAAGACGACTCAAAATGCTGGATAAAGAGCTGGAAGTTGCAGAGCCGATAGCCATCTCCATCTCTCCAGCCATCTTGGTAAAAAAACCTCCAAAACAAACAGAAAATGACTGCTAGGCTAACACACATCTGCTAACAGATTTTTATTATTTTTTAAAACTCGTTTTCAATGTTAAATAAACTGTGGAAAAAGGATTTGATTCATGGTTGCATTAGGAATCTACTCAGCCAAAGCCCCTTGTCACAAATTAAATCATAAACCAAAAGTCAAACATGATTTGTGAAATTAACATTTATCGAGGAAATACTCCCCAGCACTGCATCGTGATTAGTCTCTGGCATCTGAAATATCACCCATAATTCACGAGCTCCTCTAAACCATGCCGCTACTGTTACTGCTGAGATGACATGCATGATGGAAAGGTGCTGTAACAACCAGAGAGCAATCCCTTTTTTGATACTGGTGAGAACCAGAGGTCACTGTGTCTTATTATTTGCCAAAGTAGATGCATACACACTTCTCAGCCCCCACACACTTGTAGCCCTTCGCCGTTCCACAGGCACTCTCTTCCACAGCTTAGATTTATTCCAAGGCTATGGCCGTTTCTAATTTTGAGCACAGAGGCTTGGCAGAAGCTCTGCATTGTGCTCTTTCTTTAATATAGTGACTAATAAAAAATGAAAGGTAATTAACAGTCATTGGCTCTTTCATGGAATCAGTGTCTTTCAGCAGAGGGATTCAGTGCCTTTGTGGGGAGATGCAGACGGCTCAATCCTACAGGCAGAGAAGCTACAGCACAAGGAAGACTTAGTGATTGTGAAAGGCTAAACGGTCACTGGCAAAGCACACTTTGGAGCTCAACATTTTTTAGAAGCCAGAATATCCATATTAAGCTTTAAAGTAGGGAATGCTTCCCTTGTCAAGGTGATTTTCAGCAGGAAGATATTTTCCTGCCAAGGAATGCTGTCATTTTTTTGGAAATCTTGGTGTAAGACCATCCCCAGATATTTTTCACGTGAAGCAAAATAGGCCCCAAGTCTTTTGGTTAAGTAAGGAGAGCTCAGTTCAGCTGCTGGCTTCACAGGCATTCAGAGCAAGAAGAAAGGTTCAGCATCTCTATAACCCATCCCCTTGCTCCAAGGGATGATCATGGCATTTCTTCATGTATTCATACATTGTCTCCACTGCTCAAGTATACTACACCTGCCTGGAACACACCAGCTGTGTGCTGTGTGTTTGTGTGTGCGTAACTGTGCATACCTAAGACTACACACCACACAAAGGAGCACAAAGAAGAATATTCCCTCTCTCTTAATCAAAAGAAAGCCTGGGGCCTTATCCTACCCCTCTTTTAACCAGAATACAGACAAGTGTACTCTTACAAACGGTGACCCTCTTTTTGGGATTAAAGGAGAACTTATTGGTTGTAAAGACTCATTTCCCTTTGCTACCCTTCTCCTGCACGCAGAGCAGGCTACGTTAGATCTGGGCCACTGTCCTCAGCTGGGGCAAACTGGGCTTAATGGAGCCACGACTGTTTATGTCGTTGAGGTTAGAGCACTTGGCATGCAGCTCAGAGAACATCTGAGCCAGCCTCCACCTCGTGCCTGCACTCGCTCACTCTGCAACCGCATTTCACCACGGATGGCAGGCTCTGCCCCAAAGGAGGATGGGGAATCCAAAAGAAATTACTGCTTGCTCTAGTAAGCTAACCCTTAGGCACAGAGGCCTTATTTCTCAGAACAGAAATTCATTGCTCCAGTAACAAGACTGGCTGAATAGTCCGTGAGGGATTGTCACCTCCATTCTACACACTTTCTTTGGGTAAACAGTCATTCCCTTCTTGCGTTGTGACATTAAGGAGAGGTCACCAATGGATGGTGGTTTTTCAAAATAGTTTAATTTTTTTTAACCACTCTCTTCTACTTGCCATAACCTGTTAAAAGGCTGAAAATAACACTGAGTTCCCTACTGGGTTGCCCTTTTCCATTTGGAGAACATTGATTTTTTTTTCCTGTTGTGCCAAGATTAATGTGGCCTGTTTGTTTGACAACAGATTCAACATATCTAGTGCCCTGTCAAGCTAAAATGACTCTGTCTGTGGACAATATTCCTGTCTGGCACTGGCAATGATCTGAAAAAAAAAAAAAAAGGCTTTGCTACTTAACTGTCACTGCGGAACCATCAGGAGATTTCAGCAACCCTTAAAACCAAAAATTATTATTGATGGGGCAAATTTAAAATATTGTTAGTGAGAGTTGAATGAAAACTACTAAGCAAGGGAGGTTATCCAAATTATCCACTGTAACACTCTGTTACAGTTTTGATTCAAAATGGTTCCAGATCCTAGAGGTACAAACCTTCCTCCCCTCTTGCTGTTTTATAGAAAACGTTCATTTGTCCTCTCTCCTCCATTTTAAGTAGGAAACAGCAGATAAGTAAAGCACAGAAAAGAAAATGAAAAAAGCCAAGGAAATAAGGAGAGTTCCTTCTTCATCCAAGCACCAGATATCACACGGGCACCAGCTGAGGGTGAAAACACCCCCTGCTCCATTCTTTCAGAAACGTTACCAAGTTTCAAACCCCTCATCTCCCTCCCTTCCTTCCTCCTTCCCTTCCCCTTTCTCTGGCAAAAGCCAGTAATACCTACAAATATTTTTTATTTTCGTAAACATCATGCAGCTTTAAAACGTGAGGATGTTCTATCAACTTCAGGATGGCTATTTCCCGCTCCACCTGGAAGAAACAAAAAGAAAGAGAAGATTAGAAGCTTGATCTTATAATACATTAGGTATTGTCACACATTTTCTTCCCATTTATCCATTTTCCACTCGGCTTTATATGCAGAGGATACGGCAACTTATAACAATGTACCATATTTAGCACTCATATAACTTAAGAAAAAATCAATTTATTCAGCCTCAGCAATCCCTGCCCTGCAGAACATAAAACCAGCAAAATTTTATGGTTGAAAGAAAAGTTTCAAATCTACCAAAGGGAATTAGCTAAAGGAATTACATGAGCATTCAAGGCTGTTCCTGCTTCACAATCCAAAGCCAGTGACATATTCTCAAAGTACAGAAATTCTATAGTGTAACTGAGGGCTTTCCTGCCCTCCCACAGGCACAGGTGAAGCCATGCTGCACAACATATTGCATACTCAATATTAGAAAATCTCCATCCTGAAGAACTTGCAGCGTACGCAGGGGAGACAAAGAGTGGAAGACAGACAGCAATGTGATTTTATAGCTGCAGAACTGAGGAACGGAAAGGGAAAGAAATATAAGAAGTGACATAAGAAGTACAAAGCACAACAAGAAATTAAACCTGATTACTGGAGATGCAGTGTTCAGAGCCTTAAGCATAAGACTGTGCTTTCTCTCAATTCCCAATCTGTCCGAGCGTGGCTACTTCTAAGAGCGTGTCTTCAAAATGGAGTTAACAAGTTGTGACTAAGTCCCTGTAATTAGCGCAAGCCCTGTTCTCACCCAAAATTCTTATCATGAACTGCCATGGTGCTTTCAACGCGAATTTACTAAGGGTATTCATTAGAGATAGAGTCAGTGCAATTCCTCAGCTGCTAGTAAAATTGCTCTGTGCTGCTCAAAGCCACACTGTAACTGCTCTGATTTGACCTAGGCTAACTCGCAGGGAGTTCATGTAGCACCGTGGAGACTGTAGACTACTGAAAGAAACTCTGCAACAAGACGGAGCCTAAGCATTGCACAGTTGGGAATGACAAATTTCCAGGAATCCACAAAGGCAGGAAAAAGACCTAAAGAAGCAGACAAAGACAACCAGGTAGGTTTTTTTTCCCAGTCCTTCAAATAACGGATTGTCCTGAAACTGCTATGCTAGCAAACAACACATGCTACAAAACCATGTTTAAACATCTCCCCTTCAAGGATGAGGCGAGTAATTAGGAACTTGCCCCAGTATACTTTTAGTTCATGATATCCTTTAATTTCCTGAGGCATCATACTCCACTAAGCCTGAACACAGACAACTTACCCTGGATGCCAGTAATATATTCGGCAGGAAATTAGAAAGTGGTAGTTTTCCAGCACTGGGCAGAGGAGGAGGATTTCCCAGCATGTTGCCTATCACCCCAGATCTCTCTTCCTCTGTATCACCACACAAAACCAGCAAAAGACGCTCTCACACCACATCACCCTTGGCCTTCCTCACATACCAAGATGGAGGAACATGTGTACATGTGGCAGTCTTAGTCTTCCGAAGATGCTTATTCCTCTCTGCAGAGTCAAAAGTCATTAGAGATCCACTTCCACACTTGGGATCTCTGGAAACAGCTCCCTCAGAGAAGCGAGGAAGAGAACAGCGTATCAGGAGGCTCTAATGGAATTAGTGTGTATGTGTGCATGCATGTCATCATGTACGTATGCAGTTCAGCGCTGCCAGAACTCGGCGATGAACTCCATGAATTCAGTGATACACGGTACCAGACAGTGACAGTTCTGTCGGCAAAACTTACTCATGACGGGCACTTAGATGAAAGCAGCACATGCAAATATGAAATCAAAGTTGGGTAGATTTCAACTGCACAGCTATTCTACCAAAAAAACCACACAAAACTAGGGGATATCTAGCTTATTCAATTTTTATCTCCTCTTCAAAAAGACCTATTGGTCTTTTCTCTTACAAGACATGCACTGGTATTTGCAAAGGGCTTGTTCAGCCTTATAATTGGTAAAGCTGGATTTGCCCCAAGAATGAGGAAAAACAAAAGAGAAGAAGCACCTGTCCCCATAACACTCTTTCAATAGTAGTGAGGTTCAACATCAGCACCATGTACCACAGTTGCTCAAGAACTGGAACTCTAACCAAGTTCCCTTTAGATGGGGCAGACTAGGTATTTAATGGGGAATGTGACCGTTTCAGTAGCCATCCCCCGTTCCCCCTCCTGGGGGATATCCTGCCTGTAGATGGGCTGTCTAGCTGCACTGGAGATTCAATTCTGAAAACCTCTTGGTAGGTGCAGTGACAATGTAAGTTCAGACCAGCTGAGTGATGGATGGCAGCATCCAGCCAGGGTCCTGCCTGTTTACTGTTCTAAAGCATGAGAAGAGGCAGTGACTGGAGGAGGGGATTCAGTTACAGCACAACATAGCCTATGCTCAATAAGAGAAAATCAGACCACAAAGCAAGTATCTACTTACTACCTACAGATTTACGCTCGAAACCAATTAAAAAGAAATAGCATGAGTTACGTTACTTGCATCATTTTAAGTGTATGCTTCTGTGCATATTTTTAACTTCCTGGGAAGTAAACCCTGAGAGGAAATAAGAGTTTCGGAGGTCTTGATTGCAGCCCCAGCTATGCACAAAGCATCCAGCTCGATGAGCCTGGCAGCATTTCCCTACACTGTATTCAGTTCAGTGGTGTGTTGCACCACTCCAGTGCGGGCAGCACTCAGCTTTCCAGAGTTTGCTACTACTTCTACCTGCAAACCAAGGACAAAACTGATCTACTCATCTCAGTAAGACTTGGTATAATCCTTCAGAGAAAAGGGGCTTTATGAAGGAAAAGCGTCATTACTGTTTTTCTCATAGCCCAGGCCTTGGCTCTGTGTAGAGGAGCAAGACACTAATGGCTGTATTATTTCATGAACTAGAGATTCCCAGCTCTCAACAGCAATCTGAAAAAGATCACCCTCGAAAATCTTACAGTAGTGTCCTGTCTCTTTTCCCTTCCAAAGAAAAACAACAGGCCGCAAAAGCATGCAACAGACCACCTTCTCAAAATTACTACTGCAGTCATTGCTAATGGGTAACTCTCCCGGATCCTATTCATTTTTTATATCCCCACAGAGAAGCCAGTAATTGATATGGGTTGGACGGAGACTGTAGATCTCAATAATGATTTTACTGATGCCTGGCTCAGAAGGACCTAGCAGCCACCGTGTCATTAGAAAAGGAGAGGTATCTGAACTCAGTGGCAAAATAAGAGAGGCCTGAAATAGCTTTGCCTTCTTCCCCAGAGCTTTGCCAGCCCTTGGCATGCCTTTTTTTGCGCATCCCTGTGCTTGCAAGCCACGCAGTGCTGTCCAGCTCAGTGCTGGCAAGGGCAGGGGAATGGAGAAACCCTGCAGGGGTGTTTGCTTTAATGCAGATGCAATTATCAGAAAGCAGGCCAAGCTCAGAATAGCCTGTCTAGGGACGCTCGGAGTCTGTGATAAACAAGAAACACAGCGAAACATTTGCATAATAGTTAAAAGACAATGGAAAAAAAACAAAGCTTCCCCTGTCACACAAACACCAGGTCACGTCACAGGGTCCCAACTACAGCCTGTGTTGCCTCATACCTTGGTGGTTCCTGACTGTGCGGCGCTCCAGGCACCTCGGAGCTGAGGGAAAGAGCTGTGAAAGGCTCTGCAGGGCAAATGGAGACACACTGCTAACTTGTAACCTTGCAGGTTCCAATTAGAGGCTTTAAAAATCTATGCAGGAGGCTGATTTGACAGGATGCTCCAGTGATTCAGCTAATGACAAAGTGCAACAACGGGGCAATGCAACCCTGAGAGGAATAATGCAAAACTCTGGTTCCCTCTCCTCCACCTCTACTTCACCCTCCGTCTCCCGCAGAGGAAATTGCATCTTTCTGGTTTAAGCCCAAGTCGTCAGCACAGTCTTCACTGGTGACAAGTGCTCTCCTCTCCCGCTTTCAGACTCATGCACGGGGTGATAATTCACTTAGAAGGCAAGGAGGGCATGCTGAGGGAGCCTGAAGGTTTGTCTTGGTGATGAAGAAAGTTTCCTTTTATCTCTTGTATTCATTTCCTCAGTAACAACTGGGTCACCCATGGGTGATGATGTGAGAACTTGAAAAATGGGCAGCTGTCTCCTATTACCAGGCTGTATTTTATGCACTAAATCTGTATAAGTACTATGCAACAGTCATTAATATCAATGTTTCTAAAAGAACACCTACGCCAAAAAGCCAAGGGACAGCAGAAGACATTTCTCTTTGGATGCTTTGAGGTTCACCAGCAGCACACCACAAAGCTCTCTCTTTCTCCATTGACGTAGGTGGTTACCATATTGCTCAAAACACTGGCCTGAGAAGGAAGTCTGGAGTTGTAGAAGTAGCAAGGGGCAATAAAGCCGTGCAGGCTGCAAATGTGCTGTTTTTCCTTCTCAGAGCAAAATGGTGGAGGGGGGGTGGGGGTGGTAGGTTTTCATGTGAAAATCAAGCTGTCTACAGTTAACTCTGCTTTGCTCTGAAGTAATTAATGAAATACTTTTCAGAATTCAACAGCTGTCCCTCAGTTACTAGAAACTCAGCCTGGACATGAACTTATCTCCGAGTTCAGAATTTTTTAGACTCAGGATGAACTTCAAAGGATGCAGAGATTTGGACGCTCATCTAACTCAGGCTACAACTCCAGGTAGAACTCAGGCTGGAAACCTTGTACCAAAGTACCTACTTTCTCCCATGTCTGGCCTACTGTGCAGTAATTTGCAGTTCCATGATGAGAGCACAGAAAGCAGAAAGGAAATCACTGTGATATTTTACTGAAGTGGCAAAACCAAAGGTATCGGATAGGAAAAAACTAATCTCAAGTTCTCTGGAAAATTTCCATTCCCATTGTAACAGAAATATTCCTGGAATAAAATCCCCTGGGATTTTATTAATTTGGTACTTTTTCTTCCATGTTATGTGGTACTGAAAATTAAAAATGGTGAAAAATGACTGGCTTTGGTGAAGACCATTTAGG